TGCCAGAAGCAGCTATTACAACCCAGGCCCAGAGGGTGTAGCCACTGATTTTCAACGCAGTCTCTTGGTTCAGGGGTTTTAATGAATGGTAATCCCAAACCTATTTCTAAATACCAAATTGCTTTCCCAGAACTGCGTATTGTTGTCTCTTCCACGATAGGAAAACTGCTTTTCGACTTTGCCTATTTTAAAATGGTAGGTAAGCTTGAGACTGGGAGTGCAGTTCACATGGCTCGGTCAATGCCCGTCATGGTTTTAGTCAAGAGACGCTAGGACTCAAGGACACTGAGGATCAAGGATACTTCCTGTGGTCCTGGAATTGGGTCTATAGACCCAATTAGTTAAGGGCACACTGGGCTGTAATTATCCGGATAAATCAGACTCCCCAAACAGTACCAATCAATGGCACAATTAATTGAAACATAGCATGTTGTTTTAAAAACAAAGCACCCTTAATTGGGTCTTAAACTAGGATTCTGGCTTCAGGGTGTCTGTGAATCCTGTAAAATTTAAGAGTAAACTATTTCGTGTGTAAACTTTTGAATAGGCAAGGTAATTACCTACCTTCTTAACAAATTTCAAAGGGTTCTGTGATTAAATATGAGGTTAAGAACTACTTGGTGAAAATACATTCTAACTGTACCTGGCTTTTAAAATGTGCAATGATAGCTAACCAAGTTTCTTGCCTTTCTCCTTCAACTTTCTAAATACTTCTTAAAGGTTTTCATTAAATGAATACTCATTTACAGCATTAGACACACAATTCTTAAATTTATGATAGGAAATTCAAATTCAATTTAAATATATTATGCTAATTATTATGTCAACTTGGGGTGTGTTTGACTATTTCTGCTAAAATAGTCTAAAAGTTTAGTTATAGCTTTTGATAACGGAACCCTCTGTCAAGAACTTTTCAAAAATTTTGGAAGTTAAAAACTTTGGTGCTTGTTTATGTCTACACTTATCGAACTGTGCACATTAAATATGTGCAATTCTTTGTGTAATAATTATACCTCAATGAAACTGTTAAAAAAAAAAAGAAATCCAAATAGAGGAAACAAAAATTATGATTGAGAATGGATCAGGGCTTCAGTGATTTAAATCACACAATGTGATATATAGATGACGTATTACAGAATTGTACACTTGAAACCTATGTAATTTTACTAACCATTGTCACCCCAATAAATTTTAATAAAAAATAAAATAAAATATAAATGATATAATCAGAACCATGAGCTTTGAAATAAAACCCCAAGGACTTGAGTGTTAAAACAGCAATGGAAATATTTGAAAAATAAAATGTAAAATAACTTTCCTTAAATGATGGAAGCCAATGCTTGATAAATGAAAATCTCAGCTACACTCTTTGGGCTGATGGAAACAGTAAAGCTAAACTTCTGAGTTGGTTCTCACACTGTCGGGTTTCTACAGTGTCTAGAAGGGAGAATCTGTAACTTTGCAGGCCCCCGGCACATGTCATGACTGGCCCCAAATAGTCCAAATTTGAGTGAAATCAGCATCTATTCCCGGATCTGGAGGGAGGGAGCAGAGGAAGTTTACTCCGACATTCCCTTCTCTCTAGAACAAGGGTTTTTATATTTTATACTTGGATGTATATTAGAAAAATGTTGATGCTCAGGATACTCCCAGACCAATTAAATCACAATTCTGGGGTAGGTCCCAGGCACTGGCATTTTATAATGTCCCAGGTGACTCCAATGTGCAGCCAAGGTTGAGAACCACACTTTAGCAAAACATACATAATTATTTTAGGATCAAATTAATACTAGGTTCTTCCGTTGCTTCAGAATGCTTGAAAGACTGCCAAAGTGTCACTGTTTGCATGTATCACCACAATTCAGATCATTCGCAGGTAATCATCAGATAACCATCTGTATCTTTTTTATTAGGACAGATTTATTAAAAATAAAAGGGGCTGTGTGCTATTGAATACTGGAACAGAAAAAGACATTCCTGGGAAAACTGGTGACATTGGAAATAAGTCTATAGCTTGGTACCAGTAATATGGTAATATAATATAGTACCAATGTTAATTAACATAGTTTGTAAGATGTCAACATTTGGATAAGCTGGGTGAAGGATACGTGGAAACTCTGTACTAGCTTTACAGCCCTTTTGTAAGTCTAATGATTTCAAAATAAAAAGTTTAAAATTTAAATTCAAAAAAAGAAGGTGGAGCTATTACTGATGTTGCAAAATTGTGGATTAGTTAACAATATTAAATATCCTTGGGCATAAAGTCTTGCACTATAGACTTTATTAATGAACACAACTTAGGGGGCGAGAGAAGCTTAGGGAAACTTCTAATTTCCTGGCTATAGTCTGCTTTATATATCTTTTCTCCAGGCCCATCCAGACCCTACAAAATGTCATCAACAGCAGTTAATATTGAAAGACTCACTGACAATATATGACCTAAAAATCCTATATGCTACTATATGGAATCATAACACTGCTGGTAATATCTTACACTTGTACAGTATTTTATAGTTTATAACACTTTCCACGTGTTAGCCTTGTTTGATTCACATGAGGAAATAGGCAATACATAGGGTATACCATGGGCTAGAATAAAGGATGAAACTTCTGCATTTCATTATAAAATATGCAGTGTAGCACCTGCAGAAGTCACACACGCATAATCTGAAAACAAGGATATTAAAAGATCTTATGCTAGTGTTTAGGGATATATAGATATAGATATAGATATAGATATAGATATAGATATAGATATATATGGCTAGTACTTACTGTCATATAATCATCAGCCTAGACTAAGTCATACTCACTGGCACTCCTTTTTCATGGCAGCTTCTGTTCTCCCCTTTTTTACCAGGAAAAGGAGAAAGGTCTAGATGACCAAAGAGGCCACCAGCCAACATCCGTTGGCCCCTGGCATTGTCAGGCCATGACTCTCCCGAGTCAAGGCTGCCCCCTTTGTTTTTGTCTCCTGTTCTAGTCCCTTGGGAGCCCCCTGTTCTTAATTTCCTAGGGGCCTCTGACACTCGCCGTTTCCCCCTCATGAGTCAGGCCCACCTGCCAGTTCTTTTTCAGGAACTGTCGGCCAGCTGCAGCTCTTTTCCACGCCTACGGTCACTGGAGAAAGCTTCCCACCCACACTCAGGTGGGGATGGTGGTGACCACACTTTCTCTGGACCGTACCAGGAAATGGCTCACATCCTCCTCATCGCCACCCCCCACAGAGCCCTCCACGCTGCCATTCCCAATCCAGGGTGTGGGACGTGTGTCCTCCAGCCTTGCCGCGCACACACACATGCACACACACGCTTTCCTGGCCAGCCCAGGGAGCAAGGCGCCAGTGATGGGACAAGGAACCTGTGCTGTGCGTCCCCACTCTCCTTTCTGTGCTGTGTGGTTTCTGCTCTCGTCTGTCCCAGGAGAAGAGTGACTTTCTACCTTACAGTCGACTCCTTCTGGCCAGTGCTGTGAGGGCAGTGATTTGAAACGTTCAGTATTTCTTCCTTGTTGGCCTGGAACAACATGCTCACTCTTTGACTCTTGTTTATTCAAAAGGGAAGTCTAACTGGGACTCATCTAGAGGTCACTCGATCTTTAAGGAGAGTAATCATACTTGGGAAATGTGAACAATGGGATATGATTAATTGAAATTTCTGGTTTCCTTCTAATTAGTGACAAATGTATGAACAGCAACATAGGGGGTTTACAGGGATTCTCAGGAGAAAGAGGAGAAACATCTGCACCTGTGAAAGTAGCTGTTCTCAATGTATATTTGCCTTAAAGCCTTTTTTTTTTTTTTCTCATTACTCCACTGACACCTTCCCACCACAGAGCTCCAGTCACAGCCCTGCTCGCTTGGCCCCACCTGCAGGCACAGCAATCCCTCTAGACCAGGGGCCACCATTCCTGCCTTCCTTCTGATTCAGTAACCCACAGGCTCAGGGCCAGGGGCCGACCTGGTTCCTCCAGGATTTCTCAAGGAAAAAGCCCGGGACAGTCCCTATTCACACCCCCTTTTACTCCCAGTGTCCTGATTAGATAATAAATGCTATGGCCATCTGCCCATTTGCAGCTCCCCAGACTAAGTGTATCCACATGCAGACATATCTGATCACCTCTCCGACTCCCCAATGTGGCTGTCTCCTAGTCTTGCTTCTGAGCCCATCCTGCCTTGATGGCGCCATCTGGTTGATAGGGCATGGCCTCCCCTGTACTGTCCTGTCCAGCCACCGACTCAACCCTGATCTATTAGTATTTTAGGAAATCATCTTTGTGATTCTAAAGATTTGGAGGAGTGTATGTGTGTGTGTGTGTGTGTACACAAAGAAGAAAAAACATAATGAAACATTTGCTTAGAACAGCTTATCTAGCAATCTGTGCAGGTTTTCATCATGCTCTTTTGCTAACAGTATATTAAGAAGGAAATTGAAATTTTAGTAAAGCTATTCCTTACTCATATCGCAAAACACAACTTTATAGAGCCAAACTGAAAAACCATTGAAAGCAAATGTACTTTTCATCAGCTGAGTGATCTGGATTTTTTTATTTTTATAGTCTATTTCAGCGTAGACAGTGAAACTGTACAGATACTTTTTATTTTGAATTTATTATTAAATTCACTTCCTGTTATTGTTATTCCAACACTGAGGGAAAAAGTTTAATTTCCAGAAGTTTTCATTTAATTTTAATAAAAAACAAACCCATGTAAACCTATCTACTTAAAAAAACAACAACAACAAACATTTTGGTTCTGAACACGAACCTGCTTGATTATAAAAACTAGTTTACCTAATAATTTCATAATATGAGCATCACCCTAATTATACCCTTTGGCTGTTTCAGGCATGATCACAAGGCCTTTGAAATTCGGATGATGAACTTGCACTGACCCCGTCCCCCAGGACCCAAGTGGTCTGCGGCTGATTTCCCTGCTGACAGTCGGGACAGTGCAATTTCAAGTTTCCTTTCAGGGTCTGAGGGCTCATGGGGGCACTTACGTCTCATCGGTGAAGGCTATTCCGAAGTACTCCTTTTCCTTCAGATTGAAGTGAGATGCGACGAGGTCAAGCAGCTCCTTGGCCAAAAGCTTGGGCTGGAGACAGGATAGAATGCAAAAGGGGTAAGTGGTGGGTGACTACATTTCCTAAAATATGCAATTTCAGGTGTACAGAGTTGTTTTTTAATGGCAATGTCTCAAAGCTCAAGTACATCAATGCCAATGATTTTTACAAAACCCACAGGAGTAGACAATGAGGACGTCGCTGAGCAAACAGCCAAGTACAGGGCCATCAAGAGATGGAGAACTACTGCCTTGTTTCCTAGTAGTTTGTTCTACCAACAAATGGCACTCACTCACAGACAGGGCTCAGGAACCCATGGGCTGTCCTTCCCCACACAGGAGACTGTTTTGCACTGAACTCATGGGAAGATGCCTTATTTAAAAACGTATTACACATTCATTTATAATAAATATACATATTATATATTAGAACATGTTATAAAATACAACATATATTACAACAATATAACATAAATATTATACATATATTTAATAATGAGTATGTTATATATTTTAATCATTAATATTATAAATACATATTGTTTGTTACATATTTAATTTACACATACATTTATACACAAGTGTATAATTTTGTTACATATATTACCTACATATATTATATAACATGTAATAAAACATATTGATTTAAAATATGTTAATATATTTTATCGTAGATGTTACAATATACCATAATTATATTAACCTATTATATATTATGTAATACGTATTATATATATTTAACACACATTTATATAGTATTTGCTACGTGCCAGGCCCTGTTCTAAGCACTTTACAAATACCAGCCTCTTTAACCCTCATCACATCCCTATGAGGTGCTCCTGTATTAACCCCATTGTACAGAGAGGAAATAGGCACCCAGAGACTAAACTTCTCTGTTTAAGTGTTGGGGCTGAGATTTGAATCCTGGCTCCAGGCTCTCTGCCCTTGACCACTCTACATGCTCCCACAATTTAAATCCGAAACAATAAAAGTACCCTCCTGCAAGAAACATTAAAAATTAAGGCCAAAGGGCCTTGGGAACAGTATTGAAAAATAAACTGAAAACCCACCTTCCATCTGCCTTTCCAGAGGAGACCACACTTTACCTAAGAATGTTTTTATCACTACCTAAGGCAATATATAGCAATTCCTATTAAATTACCAATGCCATTTTACATAGAAATAGAACATATAATCCTAAAATTTATATGGAACCATAAAAGACCCTGAATAGCCATGGCAATCTTGAGAAAGAAGAACAAGGTTGGAGGTATCACTATACATGAAAGCAAACTATACTACTAGGCTATAGTAATCAAAACAGCATGGCACTGGCATAAAAACAGACACATACATCAATGGAACAGAATTGAAAGCCCTGAAATAAACCCATGCTTATATGGTCATTTAATCTATGACAATGGAAGTAGAATTTACATTGGGGCAAAGATAGCCTATTTAATAAATGGTGCTGAGAAAACTGGACAGATACATGCAAAAAAATGACACTAGACCACCTCCTTATGCCATATACAAGAACAAATTCAAAGTGGATTGAAGACTTAAATGTAAGATCCGAAACCATAAAACTCCTAGAAGAAAATACAGGAAGTAAATTTGCAGACATTACCTTTAATAATACTTTTATTGATATATCCCCTCAGGGAAGGGAAGTAAAAGAAAAAATAAACATATGGGATTACATCAAACTAAAAAGTTTTTTCACAGCAAAGGAAACTATCAATAAAACAAAAAGGCATCCTACTGAATGTGAGAAGGTATTTGTCAATGATACATCTGATAAGGGGTTAATATCCAAAATTTATTAAAAAAACTTATTCAACTCAACACCAAAAAAAACAAACAACCCAATTAAAAAATGGGCAGAGGACAAGAAGAAACATTTTTCTAAAGAGGACATACAGATGGCCAACAGACATGAAAAAATGCTCAACCTCACTAATCATTAGAGAAATGCAAATAAAAACCACAATGAGATATCACCTCACTCCGGTCGGAATGGCTATCACCAATAAATCAAAAAACAACAAGTGCTGGCAAAGATGTGGCGAGAACCCTCATACACTGTTGGTGGGATTGCAGACTGGTGCAGCCATTGTGGAAATCAGTATGGAAGTATTTCAAAAAACTGGAAATGGAACTATCTTATGACCCAGCAATTCCACTCTTAGTTATCCACCGAGAGAAATCCAACATGCTATTTCGAAAAAATATATGCACCCCTAGACATGGAAACAACTGAAATGCCCATCAGTAGATGACTGTATTAAGAAACTGTGGGGGCCGGCTGAGTGGCGCGTTGGTTAGGAGCTGGCTTGGGACGCCAGAGGGCCCTGGTTCGGATCCCACATATGAGGGCCAGTGACACTGCCCTCTACAGCTAAGATGCTGAACAACAGCTCAACCTGGAGCTGGGCTGCCATGGGTGGACGGCGATGGTGTAGGCTGCAGCCCCTGTGGCAGTGGGTTGCCATGAGCTACCGTATGTAGCCAGCAGCCAGCGTGAGTGGCCAGCAGCCAGCGTGAGCGGTCAGCAGCCGCAGTGAGCAGCCGTCCAGAAGCCGGCGACTGATGTGCCTGACCCGGGAAGAGCGCAATGATGGTGCCAACTTGGGCCAGTGAAGCAATGTCCTCTACAACTAGACTGAAGAACAAAAGGACAGCAACTTGTCTGTTCTCCTTCCCCGATTCCCCAATAAAAATCTTTAAAAAACAAAAAGAAAGAAACGGTGGTACATTTATTTGTACAATGGCGCATTACTCGGCCATAAAGAAGAATGAAATATTACCATTTGCAACGATATGGATGGACCTAGAAAAAATTATGCTAAGTGAGATAAGTCAGACAGGAGAAACACTAATGCCATATGATCTCATTTATATGTAGAATCTAAAAAATATTAAAAAAGAACTCAAAGATACAGAGAACTGATTGGTGGTTACCAAGGGTGTGGGGGGTGAGGGTTGAAATGGATAAAGAAAGTAAAAAAAAAAAAAAGAAGAAGAAGAGAGAGAGTTACATGACAGTTTTGTTTCTTATTTCACTTGTTGAGTGATGCTATGGACTGCATTGTGCCTTCACCCCCCAAATTCATATGCTGAATCCCTAACCCCCAACATGATGGTATTTGGAGATGGGCCAATGGGAGATAATTAGGTTTAGATGAGGTCATGAGAGTGGGGCCCCCATGACGGGATTAGTGTCCTTATAAGAACAGACCCCAGAGAGCTTGACTGCTCTCTCTCTCTCTCTCCACCGTGAGAGGAAACAATGAGACGGATGCCATCTGCACATCAGGAAGAGAGCCCTCAACAGAACTCGATCAGGCTGGCACCCTGATGTTGGACTTCTGGCCTCCAGAACGGTGAGAAAATAAATTTCTGTTGTATAAGCCCCCAGTATTTTGTTAGAGCAGCCCTTGCTAAGACCAGTGCACTTCTTTTAATTCAACAGGCATTTACTGAGTGTCTACTATGTGCAGGGCATGAGCCAAGGCTGCAGGAGATACAAAATGAGGGGCACACAGCACTTGCCACCACGGATTCAGGCTCTGATCAGGGCCACAGAGCAGGAGCTAACGTTCTTTTTAAAGAGCCAAAGCAGATGCCTCACTTCTGGGCTCACAGGGGGGGGCAGCCTTTGGGCCTCAATGACCACCAATTCACCCGTGAAAACAGCTAGAAATGACAGGAGTGGGTGTTAAGCGAGATCAGCTTCCTCCCTCCGGAAGACATAAGTCAACAGGAGAATCCATCTTGATAAATCAAAGCCATCCAATGTTCTGTACTTCTGTTCACACTAACATTTGAAAAAGTGAAAAAGCAATCTCTGTAACCAACAGGGAATTCAAGACTTTATAGAAGACTCTCCTTCGTAAATAGAAATCTACCAGGAGGAACGCAGCGGAGTACGTGTGGCCCGTCTCAGAACGTCACTGATAATTTACAAAGTAGAACCTAAGATGGGGTTCTTGAGGCTCCTAGCTATGTATGCTATGGGCTGGTACAAGCTCTGTTGTCAGCCTCCACCCCTAAAGGTACAGGGCTGCCCAGACACAAAGCATTTAATGTAGAGGTTGTGACTGAATGTAAGGAAGTATGGTTGATTTTTAAATTGCAATGTCGCATAATCTATCTGTCCAAATGATTGCCACCTCTTTCAAAGTAGTCTGAGCATTTCTATGATGCCTGTTATTTCTTAAAACATTTTTGATAATCTTTTGAGTTTGCCTTTGAAGCTTGTGCCCATTTGTAAGAGCATCCTCCCTGGTGACAAGTCTTCCTGCACTCATAATGGATTTGATTTGTGACTATCAAGTCATTATTGTGGGTTCTTCGGGGTTACGACAAGGTTCCAGCCTGAAGTTGGAAATGGTAGAGGTAAGATTTCCTTCTCCTTGAGAGTTAAACTTGAAAGTCACCATGTCAATGTAATTGAGCAGAGATATATAAATTTACCCAGAAAGAAAAATAATTATAATTGTGAGCCACTTCACGATGAGGACACGTTCTGAGAAATAGTTAGGCGATTTCATCATTGTGCAAACATCATCGGATCGGGCACACTTACACAAACCTGGATGGTCTAGCCCACCCAGGCTCTATGGTACAGCCTGTTGCTCCTGGGCTACAAGTCTGTACCGCATGTTACTGTACAAAGCAATACGAGACTAAATCAAGCATAAGAAAAACTGAGGCACCTGAGATGAGGTAAACACAAGCTATATGAGGCTGCTGCTGGCACAACACAGCATACATACTGTTTTACAGCAACATTAAAAAAAATTTTATATATCTATATCTCTCTATATATAGAGATATAGATATATAAAGCATATGCTCTAAAATGATAGAATGTATAGTAATTACATAAACTAATAACTTAGTCGTTGATTGTCATTATCAAGTATTACGTACTATACATATTTGAAGGTGCTACACTTTTATACAACTGGCAGAGCGGTAGGTTTGCTTACACCTGCATCACCAAAAACACGTGAGTGATTCGTTAC